GGGTTCAATCCCAGACATCTTTACAATAAAGAGTTGATAATATTGGTTCGTTTTCTCATAGCTCCGCATTCGTGTATTTATCAAACTGCGATTGTATCAAAGCAATCATCACATCACTTATCAAGGTGAATCCTGGTCCAAAGAACCCCACCTTACTAACAAAACCTCTCTCCTGTGACCTTTGTGAGGACGCAGAGGTAAACACGGCCCCCATAACAACAAAGGTCACTTTAACTTTCTTTCCCATCTCCCACCTGGTTGCAAAGACGTGGCCGGCGTCATCATTGATCTTTAATATAAGGAGTCACTGAAACTTTTAGGGGAAATGGATGCAATGTCGGCAAAAATGACCCTAATTTGGGCCCATACATAAATTCAGCAATCGATTAAATTTTCAATAGCGATCAAAAATATCCATTAGTACCGTCCCAATGACGCGTTCATCTAGATAAAACTGATAAAAAGCAGATTTTTAGCTATGGGCCTAATCTTAAACCCATAGGCCAACATTAGAGCCATTTCCCCTACAATGAGAATTTTCGGTCACTCCTAACCCCATTAACTGTGCAATTTCACTGATTCTGGCCAATCACGGAGTAGCAACCATTGATTTGTGGAGTCAGTCTAAGCCGTCTAAGCATGTCTGATGCAGAGAAGCAAGCTACTGATTTAATTTTCAGATCTGTATGACAAGGTTGCAAATACTCATTTCAGCTAAAAAAATGTTTTTTTTTTTTTAATTATGAAATATATTGGATAATCCAAAGCTATGTTGATCATTATAACATTAAATTTTGAATAACAAATGATAAGACAATCTTATTAAAATGTCGTAATAATACCTCTGACCAAGGAAAAATGATTTAGATAATTTTCATAAAAGTTGACGATACAAATACTAATGAGGAAAGAAATTCCGCATTTCCTTTTCCCAAGTCCTTTTCCTCTCCTTCCCTTCCCTTCTTCTCTTTTCAGAAAGCGAGTAATGGCGCTATAACCATATGCCATATAGGGCTAGGACAAGAGTTAGTGCTCAGGTCCCAACCGCTAGAAGAAAATGGTAGCGAGCAAGGGCGCTATAACCTAGGCGAATACAGCATTCCCTCCGTATAGGTTACGTCCGCTCTCTGTTGTCCTTCGACTGAGGTCGGCTGGATCGATTGAGGGATGGCAGTGGGTTGGCGGTGCCGTCCACGCTTGTTCGGAGGGAGGACTGTACGCTCGAACACAAGGGGTAAATACCTGTGTTCCATCCCAGGAGATCGGACAACCAAGGAGTGTACATTAACTTTCTTAGCTCTGTCACTCCCAACGATTTATATAGCCTATTTTAAAATCCTGCATACGGAGCGGTTGGTACGGTATGTCCCCGTTCTTTGATTACCTGTGGATTAAATGTTAACCACTGTCTATACTTATTAAGTAGACATGGTAAACATTCACTTCCACAAAAATTAACTAAACGCTACGCTTGATGTGCAGCAGGCATTAATAATGACAAGAAAAATGATAGATGTATCATTTTCCAGGATTCTTTCAAGTACTGGCTGTGTATGTGTAGACTAGACTAGACTAGAAAGGTTCAGAGACACCTGTCTTAGATCAACTCATCATATCATACGTGATCTAGCATGTTACGTTATACTCGTAGTTAGGAAGATTATCACTTTTTCTCACACACAGACACACACACGCACACACCTCCCAAGAGGTATTCTGTAGACTAGTAGAAAAACTTGAATACGTAAATAAGAATAAAAAATTAAAGAAAGATGAAGATAGGCTGATAGGCTTTTTAATTAAAATGTTACATTGTTTTAAAATCATAATTAACACAAATAAACGTAATTTTACTACTACTAGTTTTACAATTCAATATAGTTCGGTAGGGTCTCAAGTAAGGTCGTATTGGTGGTTGTGATGTGGAAGAGTGGTGCACTGCCGCCCAGCGAAACGCGATGGTGAAAAAAAAAACTTTTTAAAACGTTCGTTCGAGATCGCTTAAAAGATGTGCAATATTTCCAATTGAAACGAATCTTATTATTTATTATCATTTCTTGAGTGAGTAACATCGCGTCGCGTCGTGTGTCGCGTCTACTCTGGCCGCCGCCTAATGTTTGATCCATACGATTTTTTATTAGTACCTTCGTTATTGTGGTTTTCTTAATGTCATTCATTTTGTTGGCGCCGGTGGTGTAGTGGTAAGCGTGATAACCTCTCACCCCGGCAGGCCTGGGTTCAATCTCCGCCGGGATGTTCTGAGGCATAACATCTTTGATCAGGAAAGTAAAGCTGTTGGTCCCCGGTTCATGAGTTGATGGATCGATAGGTAGGGTCCAGGTGTGGGAGCTGCCTCCCTGGCGTCGGTAGCATTGGTGCTCAGCACGGAAAACAAGATCAACAGAAAACAAATCAAAGGAAAAAAAATCATTGTGTTACCGCCGTCGCCGATACGTAGACAATCGTTAATGAGATAGAACATGGTAGAAATGGCGAAAAAATGGTTTTCTCGTACCGTGGAGGCACCATATTCGACGCGGTTCCTAAATCGATAAATATGAATGTTTGACTATTTTCAATAATTATTTTTGAAATGTTACTTCTCCAAGTATTAGTTCCTGTGCTCTAGGGATGTTGATGTAACAACGTTTAAAAAAATATCTTGTCAAAATCGAGATGCGATAAAGATTAGGCGAGTGCGTCATCATTAGGGACTCGTCAAATATGGTGCTGGCACGGTATAGAGACAGAGAGAAGGATTAGTAATTTCTATTTAATTCCACTACCTTATTTGCTTATCCTTGACAGATACGCGTATTTCGTCTACAATGTGCAGACTTCTTCAGTGTCTTGTACTAATACTCTTCAGTGTCTTGTACTAATACTCGACGACCAGTCGATGATGTGAGTAGAAGACCGTCGGTTTTAGCCCCTTTATATTACTGAATTGATAGGGTCTTCCAGCCATTCCAAAGATCGCAAGTCTTATTCGCATCAATTTCGTAAATGAATACATTATATCAAAACTACAATCGCATCACTTATCAATGTGAATTCTGACCCAACAAACCCAACCTACTAACAAAATCTCCCTCCTGTAACCTTTGTGGAGACGCAGAAGTAAACACGGTCCCCAAAACAGCAAAGTTTACTCTAATATTCCTTCCCTACTTCCACCTGATTGCAAAGACGTGGCCACCTGAAGTAACTGAAACTTGTAAAATGAGAATGGAAGGTCACTCTCAACCCCACTCGGTTGATTCATTGTGCAATTTCTGGTTCTGCTAAAGATTTGCTAAAAAGAAACAAATTGTTGAGATATTGTTAAAAATCTAACACTGCTTCTTGACTCCAAACTCGATCAACGGATTCAAAATTAATCCTAATCAAGGAATCGAAAATATCTCCAAATGACAAAATGACAAGCGATCAACGAACCGAATGATAACGCTATGTCAGAAGTGGAAAGCAATAATGATATAATCTTCTTCTTTTTTTCATGACAAGCAGCCCGGGCGACACAGCTCACTCGGAGCGATAGAAGGAAACGAGCAAATTGTTGGCAAGCTGTTTCACGAAGTAAAACCGAAGATGATCCACGTGTGTTAATGGTAATTTTTTTGTTATGTCTTTTCTCGATTCAGACCAAGCTATGTCCTCGTCCATGGATATTGCAACAAAGCAGGCAAGCAATATATCATTATCCTTCTTCCACTCCGATCGAGCTATTGCTATTACAGAACAAGTTTGTCATGGTAGGCGTAGCAACCGTTTCGTCTGTATCGTTGGTTGCTTTATGTGTTTGGATTCGCCGATCGTAATGCATTGAAACGCCATTCAAACTAAAATATCGTACCAAACGCATAATTGACTTAACTCTAAAATAATGGACTTATTTGATGTTTTCTGCTCGATAGGCCAAACATAGGTGATTAGGCCGAAGTAGTATTTCGTTTCAAGCGATTTGCAGGCTTCAGGTGTGAAATTCTTTTAAGGCATGGCGGGAACTCATGTCTAACTTTATGGAACTGCAATTTATGAATCCAATCGTGGCCCAAACCGTTACGCATTGCCTGTATCTAATGCATTGTTCGTCTTATCATCTAACACCTCTCACTTACACCGTTACAATTGCCATCATACGTATGTCGTTTGTCTGTTCATGATTGACGCTCAGAAGATCTATAAAGCCATGTTGATTTTTTAGAAAGGGAATGCGGATGGACATTGGGATATCCGTTCGAAATGAAGTATGATGCTGTAATATCAGTTCTTGCCAGACATGTTAGGGCTCGAATTTGCCAATATGACAGTACGGAGCATATGAACGCAAAATGTCTCCAATAGAAATCATCAAACGAGTGGCATCATGCCGCTGGGTGTTCCAAAGCAAAACCTCCTTGAGTTCTTTCATATGAACTGCACGAGCGTTCGTTAAACTTGAACGCAAGTTCAGATCTTCGACTATGATGAACGCTGGCTGGAAGATGTTGAAATTTAAAATGCTTTCTACGGTACGCCCCGGTTGAGATGTAACTCCATTTGTCCAGAGTGTAGTAGCCACGGTATTGTACAAATTACGTGCAATGTTTTTTTTTCATGACGACATGCAATACAAAGGTTTCATACAATTACAAATAAATTGTTTATCCATTTTCACGAAATGGAGCGTAAGAGAAAAAATATTTTCAACGCAGCGAAAAGCGTTTTACAAATGTTGGTAAATTTTCATACAAACTCAGCCAATCAAGCCCAAAACTATACCGATAAATCTCAACTACCGCCAGCAGCCACGATTTCAGAAAACGATAAATCTGCACAATGTGCCCGGATAGCTGTTTTTCTTTGATTTATGGACAGCTGTACGGGCAATTTTTTGAGACACTGTGTGTAATCGCATTTTGCTTCTTGCACTGTTATCTAATCATCTTATATTGATTTTTTGCTTTTATTTTTCAAATCTAACCAAATCGCGAGTTGCGATAGATATGGAACCAAAGAATCAGTTCAGCTTGCATCAGTTCAGTTTGGAAGTTAGTGTTGTGCAAAGCTGACATAATCTACAGAAGGCCAGCCGTGCGCCACATGTGAGTACCAAATATTCGTTCGAAACATACTTCCTCCTAAGAATGTCTAGAATTTACTGGTATTCATTGAAGTTTTAACGTTTGATTAATAGGGAAACTTAGGAATTTTGGATAATTGTTTGTTTTAAATCATTGTTTATAGATAAGACTGTGTATATAGAAGATATACTATATTTATTGAAAAATTATCGTCGTAAAACGTAGTACAATATATTAAAACTAAAATGCATATTGTTCCAAATGTAAGTCTCTTATTTCTACGATGTCCATCAATAACTTTATAATCACAAAAAAGCAGCAATAACCGAACAAAGGTACATTCTTATCTCAGTCAATAAACACCATCGTACAAAATCGATAGCGAAAGATTAGCTTTACTATACCTACAATTTTTGCTTCAGTTTTTTAGCCCAATCCTCGCCTATCACAATGCTAGACATTCGTCTGCTGTCTCCAGAGCTAGCTCAAAAGGCTAGAGAAGAGCTGAATGAAGTTCCAGAAAGGATAGAGGAGGATATAGCGACCCTTCGTTCATGGCTGGCCAAATGTCCACACATCAAAGCTCGTACCGATGACCAATTCCTACTCATGTTCCTACGTGGTGCTAAGCACAGTCTGGAGCGAGCCAAACAAAAGCTTGACCTGTACTACACCATTCGAACTGCTCTTCCTGAGTTGATCAGAAATCGAGATCCTTACGATGAGAGAATGGCTGCTCTAATAAGAATGGGATCAGCCATTCCACTGCCGCACACTGATACTCCCTCAAGTCCTCGTATTATGCTAATCCGACCAGGCGTTTATGATCCTGCCAAGTTCTCCATTCAAGATGTGTTCAAATTCAACACGATGATGAGTGATATTATGATGAAGGAAGACGACAATATGGGTGTCGCTGGTCAGATGGGTATTCTAGATTTGTCCAACACAACGATGGCCCATTTCCTGCAATTCAATCCAACTTTTGTCAAAAAGGCTACTATGTGGTCTCAAGAAGCATCACCATTGCGTCTAAAAGGATTCCATTACATCAATACTCCTCCTGGATTTGAAACCGTGTACAATTTATTCAAATCTTTCCTGAATGAAAAGAATCGATCTCGGGTAAGTTGTGACTGTTTTGATGTATTTTGAATATTCCACTAAACTTGATTACGATTGTAGCTCATTGTCCACGGAAGTAACATGGAATCATTGTACAAACACATCCCTAAACGCCTGCTTCCTACGGAGTATGGCGGTGAGGCTGGACCGATCCAGGATATCATTGACACATGGGTGACTAAAATCGAAAGCCACAAGGATTTCTTCAAGGAAGAAGATCAGTACGGTACCGATGAGAAAAAGCGACCGGGCAGACCAAAGAACGCCGAATCACTTTTCGGTATTGAGGGTTCGTTTCGGAAGCTGGAAGTTGATTAATTGTAACAGTGAACTGTTTGCAGAGCGTGATGATTGAAGGATAATAAACATAAAGGGTGGATGGTTTTCAAGAAGTTTTTTTGTCATCTAGTATCGTAATGCTCTGAATACCGGACAGTCCATTAATGTGGATATTTCATTTTTAATTAATTAATACGTCTACTTTGCAACATGTGCAAACATGTGTGATGGTTCTGAACGATGATATAAAGCCATGTTAAAATGTATGTGCTATTTTGAGCATGGTAGGCATTGACAATCAACTTTTAAAAGTGTCTAGATTTATGAAATAAGTGTCTAAAGTTCGTTGCATTACGGTAGTAAGCACGCTCCTTGGTTTTCAAACCTTTCTAAATCAGGCGCTAATAATTTTCATTCAATTTGAACTCGTTTGATTGAAAATTGACTTTACACAGATTATTTGACTGGAAAATATAATGGAAGCTATTTGATTATATCCTACAAGGCTTTTACCAAATTGCTGAAACGTAAGTGATGATGATGATGATGATGATGGTCCCACCCTACAAAGGTTTGAGCCGGACGATTTTTCTTTAAGAAACTTAAGTAGGTATAACATCTTAGCCGACGCCGGTGGTGTAATGGTAAGCGTGACTGCTATCACACCCCAATGGGTCTGGGTTCAATCCTAGCTGCGGTCGGTAGGATTTTTCTGAGGTATTAAAATCTCTGGTTTCCTTCGGAAGGCAAGTAAGCCGTTGGTCCCGGCCCATATGTGTTGAATGGGTGCGATATCCTACGCAGGTGTAGGAACTGCCTTCCTTGCACATTTAATTGGATGGCAATCGATGTCCGTCGGTGATTGGCACGAGGTTGCGGAACAGAGACCGATGTTAAATAAAGGAAAAAAGTTTAACATCTTAACCAGATTAACACACAAAAACGAACTGGTTACAATTACAGATATAAAATCCCTCAATACTTGTCAGTTGCTTCACAGTGATAAATGTGAAAAAGCTTAGGCGTTCACCTCTTTGTTCACATTTTTGACCATCTCAAATATTCACAAGCATTCCCAGAGATCAAGAGTTCATGAATAATAAACAAAGCATTCTAATATACAAGCAACCCCACAATCGTAATTTTAGCAACGTCAGGAATGCTCACGAACCCCCGATAAATATCCAAATAAGCATCCATGTTCCATTTTTTTTATGTATTTAATTTAGTCCTTTATATCCGTAATACGCACGCGAGGCTCAAACCTTTGTAGACTACTCCAAACTACTTTTGACGTAGGAGTACGTCTTTCAGCAACATATTGGGGGTGCAATTAAAAAAAAACAAAATCGAGCGCATTACAAAAAGTGATCAGGTTTTGACCACTTATAACTCTGTCAATAGCGGATGAATTTTTATTCAAAACAAGCCAATTGATTGGAAATTTTCCTACAAATCTGCTTAAATGAGCACTTTATCAATTTTCAATAGATCACTATTTAAAACTACACAAATTTCCAACTGTTGCAATGGTGATAAAAATTATCACCGATTGCCTGCAAAAAGCGTACAGATTCCAAAATCTAATTGCATCCAGTCTCGCCGAGCGGTGTTTATTCAATCATCTCGTGATGAGAGTGGTGGTGTCCGGTCGTCATCAACAGCAGCAACAGCAGTAGTCCTCTCGGCGTGTGGCGTTGAACATTGTTCTCCAGTACACAACGAAAGGCTGCCCGCAAGCAACGACCTGCAGTCCACATGAGCGTCCATTCACCGAAGAAGGAGGAAGAAGCCGCACTGCTACTGATTGGATTCAGTAGCTCTTCGTAAGTCACTGCGGAATATCTATGCCAAGCACGTCACCCTTGTTCCAATCAGCATACAGCTCGCCAGCCTACTCTGTGTTGAACACCCTAATTGTTCAGCATTACACAACCATCACGACAAAACGTTCCTTTTCAGGACCACCATAAATTTGTTTGAGTATTTTCTGGACATTTTTCAAGGTCATCAATCGAATGTCAGTTCCCATAAGTTTAAATCAGACACACCATGGCAACATTGGGGTGCAATTTCAAAAACTAAAGTCGGTCGTGGCACAAAAGTGGTCTGATTTTGATCCAGAGATGATGGATTTTAATTCTTAATACGCCAATCGATCGGAACTTTTTCTGCGAATCTATTAAATTCAGACTTTATCAATTTTGAAAAAGGTCACTATTGGAAATTGCACGAATGTGCAATTATTGCTATTATAGCTAAAATTATCACCAATTGCCTGCAAAAAGCACTTTCCCTAACACAGATTTTATAATCGAACTCTATCCGGTCATTCAATCACCGCGTGTGGCGAGTGGTGGTGTCCGGTCATCATCAGCATCAACAGTAGCAGCAACAATCAATACGAAACTAACGATTTTAAATTGGCTCACCACTTTAGTAGCCTAGTGGTCCCAAGCAAACGATTAACGTACCCTATTCTAGTCGAAATTCTAGTACTACGCAATGTTTGTTTTGATTCGCTATGAAAGTTTGACAGATAAAATGAGGGGTTATTGGTTTTTTCTATGTTTTGAGGGGTGAATCGATTAGCTTGGGACCGAAGAGAGTACCAGCAACAATCAATACGAAACTAACGATTTTAAATTGGCTCACTACTTGACTAGCCTATTGGTCCCAAGCAAACGATTAACGTACCCCATTCTAGTCGAAATTCTACTACTACACAATGTTTGTTTTGATTCGCTATGAAATTTTGACATATAAAATGAGGGGTAAGTGGATTTTCCTATGTTTCGAGGGGTGAATCGATTAGCTTGGGACCGAAGAGAGTACCAGAGCTGAGCCAAAAAGTTGAGCACGTTATTTCGGGACCTTCTAGTCTTAGAGTTACCTCTATGGTACCAGAGCTGAGCCAAAAAGTTGAGCACGTTATTTCGGGACCTTCTTGTCTTAGAGTTACCTCTATGGTAGCAGTGCTTGCGGTGCGTGGCGTTCTCCAGTACACAACGAAAGACTCCCCTCAAGCACCGAGCTATCAAGGCTGCCCTCAAGAGCCCTCGTGAACATCGTGAGTGTCTGAATGATTTGGGAAGTAAAAAAGTCACTGACAGCAGAGCACTCATTTGGTATATTTAGTCTGTATGTTCGATAGCAGCTATTCACGGTGTGCGTTTTGTTCATTCCCTGTAGCAAGTGCAAGTCAGAAGAATTGATGCTGCATAACCGTGAGCAATCAATTTTCCATAAGGCTGATAGAAAGGCAGCTGAGAAATGTATCTTCTAAAAGCGGTCCCGAATATAAATCTAGCGTTAGTGCTTTGTAAATAAAGTAAAGTTATTCCATTAATCCAGATGAAATTTCCTTAAGTTGCCTGCATATCCTCAATTGGAAGGGGAATATATTCCGTAAAGGGGACAAATGTGTTTTTGTGTAAAATGGAGGGGCTGATCAGAAATGGCTTAGTTTACACTAAATTGAGGAATAAGAACGAAACCACACATGTCATATGATAGTTATTTGGAAATTTTCTATTTGCTCTAATGTTGTTCTACCGTTTGTGTTGTGTAAGAGAGGCGACGGTAGAGCATGAGAGTACGAATAAAAACAGACTGTCGCGAATGAAAACGAAGCGAGTGTCGTAAAAAACGTCATCAGTTTCAACCCCTGGACTGGACGCAGAAGTCGGAGGTCGAGTTGAAATCTCATCTTTGTTAAAGTGACTATATACAACAACAAAAAACTACAAGGGACAGCCCTATGCGGTTCAACGCAATGATGAAGTAGGACCATAGAGGTAACTCTAAGACCACTGAGTCCCGAAGAAAATCATTATTATTTTTGGCTCACTCAGTACCAGAACAACGGTCCCAAGCAGTCCCAAGCTATTTCACTCACCCCTGCATGTTCTGCATGAATCCACACACCCCTGATGTTATCTGTCAAACTTTCATAGCGAATCAAAACAAACATAGTGTAGTAATAGAATTTCAACTAGAATAGGGTACGTTAATCGTTTGCTTGGGACCAATAGGCTACTAAAGTGGTGAGCCAATTTAAAATCGTTAGTTTCGTATTGATTGTTGGTAGGACTACCTGGTTTTATATAATAAATATTATTTGTTAACTGTAGCAGGAGCTTGTGTTTCGTGTAGGAATAGGAATTTGAGTGGGATTCTCTCTGATTGACCATGACTGCCCTTATGATATGAATTTTAGTTGGGACAGAAATTTAACTCTTTTGGAAAAACGTGGTGGCCCTGAAAAAGGCCGATGGGAGTACAGGCTTAAAGTCTTTGGAAGATTATGATGACGTGTAGCCAATTGGATCATCAAATCGGACCGGACAATCCCATATTCTTCGGCTCAATGATTGGGTACTCGCAAGAGTCTCGGCCCGTCTGCTGCTGGACAGGGGTTCAACTGCTGTCTGCGACAGGTTGGAAAGCAGCAGAACATCAGTGTCCACCCAGCTAAAGGTTCTCTCTTTTTAAGTTTTTCTCGTTAAACTCCTTCTCTCAACAAGTTGGTAAATCTAAGCCTTTAGCAAAAAGACGCTTAACGCTTTTTTTCGGCGAATTTATGATCCTGTTTCACGTCATGTTTCTTCTCTTTGCCTGTTAAGATAAATTAGTACATTTATGTATTTTCTCTACTGCGCTAAATCAAACGAGTAGAAATAAGAAGGGATGTCGGTTACGCGCTCGCATAATTGAAAATTCGAGAAACATTTAATCGAATAGCTGTATAAATCCTAACGATTAATCGTGATTCGAATAATTGGACTTGTAGGCATGCCTAGAAAATAGCGTAATTTCAATTTTTTTGGTGGTCTTTCGAAAATGTCCAACAGCAGAACTGCAACCAGCAAGTGTAACCCAAGAACCAAATAGGGTGCAAAGCTAGTTTTCATTGCTATGACGACGACTGAATTAAGGGGCTTAAAAGCAGAAGGGTGAAAGTCAATTATCTTCATCGATTTCCTCTTTTGATGACCACTAACCTATTTTGCACTATTTCTGCTATGCTCTTCTATCATCCAGAACAACAAACGTATCAATATGAATGTGTTTGCCGTTCGAGTTATTAACGCAACAGAAAGTCAATGAAGAGAATCGATCAAAATCACTTGCACTCCTGCTTGAAAAGTTTGTTTACAAGATTACAACTCTGGAGAGCATTTTGTGTGGTCGTTGGGTGCAAAATGTTACGGAATTGCATCCTCCCTATTCGCACACGCCCGAGGATCGAAGGCGAATGCCACTTCGACTTGTTTCGTCTACTAACGACTCTCTGATGGCAGTGTTGGGGAAGCAGCAATGCTATATCGACATGTTCCGTCTAGAAACGATTATCTGATGACTGTGTTGGGGAAGCATGTAAGTAATTGGTGGATTTATTAGTTATTTCGACGCATTTGGACAATGCTTGAGATGTACCACTTTTCAATAGTATCTTGTTAAAAATCAAGAGTCAAGCATTGTCATCGATGCGTGAAAATATTTCTGATCGATTGGTGATAAAATTATTGAAATTGGTCCAGGGACAGCCGAGTTATTAACGTTCATAATCTTTCATAATTTCGTACCATGTTCCATTTTTGGTTTTCACAAAGTGTGTTATAGAAATGGAAGAGCCGAATAACAGGCACTGGAGAAGCAAAATGGACACTCGTCTACGCATCAACCGACTCTCGCTGACAGAACGTTTTGTCACGCAATGAGAGGTAGAGCGATGGCAAACAACAATCACCAGTAATGGTCGCTGCTCACAAGCAAAATGCTACACTCGCTGCTGATGATGAAAAGCACAACGAAAACAGTGAAGACTTCTGCAGTACGATCATGAGAAAAAGCGAAACGACAGAAGAAAATGAAAATAATGCCTACGCATTCCAAGTTCGTCTCGCTAGGCGTGACTGTGTGAGTTCCAAAAAAAGCAGGCAACATTAATCGGAAGCTGTTGGGCTCACTCACCAACACACTCGCATAAGCAAGCAAAGCAGCAACTGCTTCAAAACGAGCACAGATGAGTGTCGTTATTGTCGGGAATGACCAGATCGGTGATGGATCACAACCGAAGATGACATTCACCAGCTGATTTTTACTTTCGTTAATGCAGGTTTAAAAAACCTGTTTAAAATACTCAATTGCCAAGGCAGGAACAATGTAAAAACACTTAGATATATATCATAACAATTAAGTCTGGTAATTTACTATAGTAACTGGAGCACCTAGATTAAAATGAAATGTATTTTTTTTTTTAATTTGGAAAAAAAACTTCTTTCGTCAACATGATGGATGGTCATGGAGAGTACATTGATAGGAATGTACAAAGCGTTACTACCATCAGCTGTTTGACGATCGTGATTGTGATAGGTCGCAACTCTGAGCATACCTTAAACATCCATCTTGAAGATGAATGAGAAAGATTTGGATGCGCGTAGGGGCTGACATAGTGTGGTCATTACTGCACAACAAGAGCATTTCAATTATAATGATATCAACATATATTTCAATATGATGATGATGATGATGATGATGATGATGATGATGATGATTGAGACTATCTCTCACGTAGCAAGGCGCCTGCACATACACCCAACCGGGGGATGTAAGATTCGCTTACAATTATGTGGTATTCATCATCAGAGGATGTTAGTGGAGACCGCATGAACCGGGGATGCGATATACCTTGCTGCAGTCCAATGCAAGAAAATTGGAGACCGAAAAATGTAGAGTGTATTAGTGAGGTAAATTAGTTATGTCGAAAAAATAGGAAACAGACTGCCGACTGGACTCGAACCACGAACGTTGCGATTATCAGACCTGTGCTTTCTCCACTGCTCTCTCCATACTTCTGAATATGGATAGCCTTAAAGCAAACATGAAGCGCTCATTCTCTCGCATACTCGACTTCGTATGCTTTTTCTGCTGGAGAGATTCGAGACAAGTGTGTGCGTCGTTCTACAATGTTCTACAATGTGCGTCGTTCTACAAGCTTACTGGTATTGTCGAAAGCGTAGATAGAACACGAAATAAAAAAGAAAAAAAAACCATTACATCGCCTGCATGGTCAATTTCTAACATTCGTTGCGATGTTCATGAACAGAGGATGATAGAAAACGGAACTAACATTCGTTGTAATAGATTTTTGGTTTGCGTGTAGCAATAGGCTGTCCTTGCAGGACGACTTGATCAAGTCCCACAATTATGCTCAACTTATTACTGTATGAAGGGCCAAAACGGATGAGTGGACCCGTAAGCAGAGACGCTTACGCGAAACCCACAGGGGATAGAAGAATCTCCCTCCAGAAACCAAGATCATACAATCTGAAGTGGAACGAGTCATCGTTCTGAATGATGCCCCTGTGAATGGGGAGAAGAGACCACCCTCTATCCACGAAATGTTAACGACAAGGAGTAGGCAATCCCACACTCCCTAAACAACATATATTTCAATAAATAATAAAAACTTGTAACTTAATTTGATCTACTCAATCTGCTCTAAACTTGAGTAAAATCAAGTCAGAGAGTAATATGTAGTACACACACATATACGCTTTCACACACACATATACGCTTAAACGAGCGAGGCTTTTACTTGAGTGCATTCCTTGTACATAGTTCGGTTGAGTCAGTATTCTAAAGTATGTTGCAGGTAACGTTTAACAATTAAATGAGAGGAGACGTGACGGTTGAAATCCACAATTTTTACCTGTGCACATATTTGCAAACCCCGCCCTCCCCTCTTTAGAGCGTGACGTACTCAATGGATGCTGGGACCTGTCAAAAAGTTGGACTATGAAAGTAGAAGTGACTTATCTTTTCTTGGCTAAGCGAGCCACTCCAAGAAGATAAAATGCGAATAACTGGAGCAGCTGTATCCTGCCGATTGACAGCAATAAGACGTAAGCACCAAAATCTAAATTGTTCTGCGGAAACATTTTTCTGTTCAGACATTAAAAATAGGTTGAATAATACACAGTTTGATTTCAATCGATTATTACCTAATGGTGGCGTTAAAATAAACTACACTCAAAACAACTTTGTCTTACATCCGATGTAAGGTTGGATTTATAACATCCTCTGCATATGTTTCCTACAACAAATATAATAGTGTTTGAATTAAATGACAAATTGATAAAAAAAAACTTTCGGCTCCGCAAAGTTTTTTTTTTAACAATGAGCCTCACCAAATAAACAAATAAAATAAAACTAATCTTCCGTTCTTTGGCAGGGCAACAAATTTATTATAAATGCACTACAAAAACTAGTACGTTTATATAATTTACGAAGAATATTGTTTATTTTGGTTATGTGAGAAAGGTAGTTTATACTGCAATGTAGATACAATTATTCTTATCAAAAGGACATCACGTTACTTTACTTCATATCACCAGCAAGCGATATGAGGCACCAGATCGTTTGTATTCATTCTAACTACAACCGTCAGCGAAAGCATTGCGACATTATTCAGCGGTAAGTAGAAGTGACTTTCAGTTTCATCTAAAACGGTTTCGGATAACTACTGTATTGTGAATGTGAATTGAGTTCATAATAAGTGCTTTAAATAAATATTGATCTATGACCATAACGATAAACTCTTAATACAACCCGAAAATAATTTAAAAAATAATATCAAGTTTCCATTAGCTCTATTAGTGTTGACACGTTGGTGACATGTTAGTTTCAATTATTTGACATTTACGGATACAAAACTATCACAAATATCCTTTTCAGAGGCATATTTCAAGTCACTCTTCGAAATTCATTGTAGAAATCCCAAAAGAAAAATTGCCAAATCATGCTGCAAAAAAAACGTGTGACACTTATCTATTCCAGCTGATAACCGCTCACCTGGGCTTATCAACATTGTGATTATAGCTCGATCTATAGCACTTGCGTTCAACCCACAACAAAGAATTATCGAATGGTATCAATTGTCTGCTATATTATGTTTGCTCACAGATTGTTCGGGAAGCTTTGTTAGTCCTGCAGCACCATGGTCAACATTCGACCGGTATCGGAAATTCTCAGCAAAAAGGCCCAGGTCGAGTTGAATGAGAAATCCGAACGAGTCCAGGAAGACCTGAATGTTCTCCGGCAATGGATTGCCAAGAGTCCGCACATCCGATCGCGAGTAGACGATCAGTTTTTGATTGCATTTCTCCGCGGTTGTAAGTACAGTTTGGAACGGACCAAGGAAAAGCTGGATATGTTCTACACGGTCCGGACCATGTCACCAGAATTGATAAGATCGCGAGATCCGGAGAATCCAAAGATACGAGAAATCATTCGCCTCGGCGTTGGATTGGCACTACCGTACACGGAAACTCCGGATTCTCCCAGGATCATACTTATACGGCCGGCAGCTTATGATCCAGCCAGGATCACCATAGAAGAAGTCATTCGAGTGAGCACCATGGCCAACGACGTGATGATGATCGAAGATGACAACTTTGTAATTGCTGGTCAGGTAAGTCGGCACTAGCATGGCTTTGGTTCTAAAATATTATCTTATAGTTATATTGATGCAGATTGGAATCTTGGATCTCTCTAACGTGACTATGGCTCACTTCCTACAATTTTCTCCGTCATTTGTTAAAAAAATGACCATGATGAGCCAGGAAGCTTCACCTCTGCGACAGAAAGGGTTCCACTACATCAATACTCCCAACGGGTTTGAAATGGTATTCAACATGTTCAAAAATTTCATGAGTGAGAAAAACAAATCTAGGGTAAGTTGTTTTGTATTCTACAGTATTATAAGATATTATAAGGATTTCCTCTTCATAGCTTTATGTTCACGGACATGATCTGGAATCACTTTATCGACATGTACCAAAGAGGCTTCTTCCAGCTGAATACGGTGGAGATGCTGGACCACTTCAAGATATTATCAACAGCTGGGAGAAGAAGCTTGTCTCGTATCGCGATTATTTCTTGGAGGAAGACCAGTACGGAACAGAAGAGAAGAAGCGACCTGGACGACCAAAGAATGCCGAAAGTTTGTTTGGCGTTGAAGGATCATTTCGAAAGTTACAAGTAGATTGATTCAAGAATGTCTACCGATTCACTTTATTTTTGAGATTTTAAATAAACCCTGCTGCTTGCAGCTTGTTTTGCTTATCCTGACACTGATCGGCCAGTATCAAATTACGGTTGTACAGTGAATATTTGACACTATTGATTTGTATTTCTTCCGTTGTGGCTTTCAGCTGGGACGATTTTGTTTCGCGTGAAGTTGTAACTGGTTTTTCTTGCTTCGGTTGGATGATCCAGTCCGAAAAATCTACAAACTTGTCACTTCCACATGGACCACGGGGTTGCAGATGACCGATGATCATTACAGCAGGTTCCTTCCTCTTTGGTTCAATCTATGAAGTGTATGTAAATTTATTAAGAACGTAGTCTACGAAAAAAAAAATGTTACCTTCTTAACTGGACCAGATTTCCAGAAGCATCTCCAAATCTTTGTCTTATTATAGGCCTTTCGGAAGTTGTCATTCGTCATTCCGTAGATAAGCGGATTGATGGCAGCATTCAGAAACATCAAATAATGAGAGACATACCAAAGAATCAGGAAGTCTTTTCCAATTTGATTACTGTTTGCAGTCACATACCGATTATATCGTATAAATACTAGAGTTGTGAATGGTATTCGTAACAAAATGAATACTACCAGCACTACAAATAAACACCTTGCCACTCTCCTTTTGTAGGTTACCGAGAGAGGATGTTCCCGGATAAGAACTTTCCGTTCGTAACGATCTAGCTTGAGGAAAATCAAACTGTAACAGCATATCATAACAGACAAGGGGAACCACACCAGAGCTCCTATTAACACATGCCAGTAGCGTGGTAGAAAGTTCGTGTTCTCTGCACAGAACGTCTCTAGATAGTTTTTCCATTGCCTCTCCTTATAGTTTCGGTAGACTGTCAACGGAAGAGCCAACAGGAATCCCACGATCCAACAGCATGCAATTAAAATTGAAACGCCTTTCATAGATAGTCTGGATTTCTTGGGAAATACAATTGCCGTTAGTCGATCGTAGCTAATACCACACAGGCAGAGAACGGATGTGATGAGAAGCAATCCTGGACGAGAAAATCATTTGTTTAAAAGTTGAGTAATTGGTTGCCATCAATTGTAAAATTACCTTCCAGGAAACCCTCCAGCTTGCAGCCAACTGCTCCCATCACGTAGTTTTGGTAAAAATCATGAAGCATAAACATCACCGGGCAAATAATGAGCGTAGCCAAATCCGCAACCGCCAGATTTGCTATCAGCATATTGGTAGGAGTTCGTAATGCCCGGATTGTGAAAATTATGCACAGCAGCGCTATGTTACTAAAGATGCCGAACGTGATCAACGGGAGAAATGTGGTTGTTTTGACTAGAATTTCCCACATTGGGATCGTCACCCATGTATCACGAGGGTAGTCGTAGATGCTGACGTTCATCTGAAAAATATTGGAATAGGATGACAATATGCCATAACATTATTTAATATTATTTTAATTGTAATTACCATAGCAAGATCTTCATCCGTGACATAGTGAACAAATTTTCCAGAATTGTCCGTTGCACCCATTGGTTTAACAAGCATATTATTTTCGAAAGATTACACTATCAACCTGATATAGAATGAAAAAAAAACATATAGTTGGAAATACAATAACTTGATAAATCAGTTTTGTTTGAAAGTGTGATTCATGATTAGTGACAACTGACATATTAATCCATTTTTTTTTTCGTGTAGGGTATTTTGATCACTGCGACCAGTACTTAGATCTATTGTGGTATATTCCTCGTTTTAATATTGCTTTATCAGCATGTCGTATCACTATTTTATGAAGCGACCGACATAGACTGTCTTCTGTGTTCAGAGTCTTCTTTTTTTATGCCACATAATCGACACATGTCCTCTTGAAGTTTTCCTATTAGCTTCAAGTGATATTTACATGGACAGTGTCCTGTTATTAAACCAGTGTACATACTGAGATCTTTCTTTGATAGTTCAAGAATTTTACTAGTCATTGAAATGCTCGGATTAATAAACCGTTTCGACTGCCTAGCAATGAAAGTGTTGTTCCAATTGGTCTCCATTTTCATTTTTTTTTCCATTTCTTGAACCCCATTCTAAGAGAGCAAGCAGAAACTTCATAGCATGGTTCTGGTCCTAGCTAGTGTGTCGACTCTCTCATTCCATTGAATTCTGCAGTGACCAGGAACCCAAAATAGGTTCACTTGGAGTGACATTGCATATACAAGTTTAGAATTACAGGTCGCTGATTTCAAAGCATTTAGTGCTGCTTAGCTATCAGACATAATGCAGATATTCGAATGTCTGTAATTTCTACGTAAGCAAATTTTAGAACATTGAAGAATTGCATGGACTTCTGCTTGGAACACGGTAGGCCAGTAGCCCATAGCTATTGAGATATTTATTCCTGGACCTGTTACCCCTGCTTCTACACGATTATCCGTCTGTATAAAAGATAAAAGACAATTGATCCAGGACGAATGTTTGGTCCCCCGTTGTCCCACAAATCGCGATCCGCATCTGCTACATTGTAAAGACGATCGAAGTGATATTTTTTCTTCATCAAATCTTCATTTTGTATCACAAGAGAATCAATGTTGAACACTTTTAGGATGCTCATATGTCCTCTAAGATCACCTTCAAGAAAGTGCTGTGACCGTCGGATCCTTCATGCACTCCTTTCGGCTTCTAATTGAATAAATTGATGCAAAGGATGCTGGCAAAGTAGAGCATCTAGTGCCATGCTTGGTGTGCTGCTCATTGCACCAGTATTGAGAGAGTGGCTAGTCTTTGCAGCCTTCTCAGCTTCTTCTGAGCTGATTTATTAGTTTTAGGCCACCAAATCAATGATGCATAGGTTATTCTGGGTCTAACAATCGTCAAATAAATCCAGTGGATCATTTTAGGTTTTAATCCCCATGTCCTACCAAAAGTTTTTTTTTTACTTATCCAAAGAGCATTTGTTGCTTTACTGATGACTTGCTCTTGATGCGAATTCCAGTTTAGTTTGCTGTCAAGAGTAACTCGCAGATACTTGACTGAATTTGAAAGTTCTAAAATTATTCCTTTCAGTTTAATATTATTTAAGGACTTATTTTTTTCTTCGTGTGAATGGTACAACAGTTGTTTTAGATGGATTAACATTCAATCCTTCGCTAGTGTACCACGATGAAACATAATTTAAAACAATTTGCATTCTACTTGAAATGACAAAGTCATTTTTTCCACGCACTAATATGACTATATCATCTGCGAAGCCAATAATCTCGAAGCCCTGTACTTCTAAGTTTTTGAGATGGACATCAACTATTAAAGACCACAGTAGAGGTGAAACAACACCTCATTGAGGACACCCTTTTACAGCTCTCACTGTTATGGACGACCTTCAAGGTTTGCTGAGGTTTCTCTTTTGCTAAGCATTTCGTTAATCCAATTAACTATGCTTTTATCGAACTCATGTTTCATCATAGCGTTTTTGATTGAGTGATAAAATGCATTATCAAATGCTCCTTCAATATCAATGATCGCTGCTAGGGAAATTTATTTTGATTCAAAAGATTTCTCTAGTTTTATAACCAGCGTATGAAGAGTTGTTACAGTTTGATATGCAAACTGATATTTATTTAAAGGAATTGTAACCAACTTTGACTTTATGTACTCATCTATTATTTTCTTCATTATCTTCAGCATAATGGAAGATAGGCTAATCGGCCTGAAGGATTTAGTAGACGTTTTATCCTTTTTACTAACCTTTTGAATAAATATAACCTTAACTTGACGCCAGGTTATTGGAATATAGTTTAATGTTAAGCTTGCTCTAAACATGTCTGTAAGAATAGGTGTCAATGTTTCTTTCCCTGATTTGAAAGTTTCAAGAGAATCAATCGCCCATTCAACTCGTTTCTCTGTAAAAATGTGTTGGCCAGATTTTGAGCATCTTTTCTGTCTCTTTCTGATCCAGTCGACTCGTTCATTGTTTCCTGAACATACGTCCTGGTTTTTCCAGAGACAGTTTTTGCTGCATATATATTCTGGTCTTCATTTATGTTAGAAGTTGAACATAGAAAGTGTGTTTTCATCATTATCTCTAACGTTTCCTCCACTGATCCATTAAACGTGCCATCCTGTTTTTTAAGAGTTCCTAGGCCATTTGAATGATCTTTTGAAAGAACTTTCTGAAATCTAGCAGCAATTGGAGTATTTTCAATGTTTTCACATGTATGCCTCCAATCCTTTCTTTTTGATCTTCTAATTTCCCTATTATAAGCTGTAAGGGCTTCTCTATATTGATCCCATTGCTATTTTTGCCCGGTTAAATAGTTTCCCGGGCTTTCTTTTGAAGTTTCTGTAAGGTTTTATTCCATATACCTAACTTCTGTTCAATTCATCTAGAAATTTAAGTGCTTAAAAATTGTGTGATTTATTACAATTGGATAATCAAAAACAGAAACAATCGCCAGTTTTTCAGTTGACCAAACTTTCATGATTCCCACCTTTTCGATGGCCTTATGGACCGCTGAAGGTGCTCAGGATATGTAAGTATTGTTTTGAGCTAAAGGGTGTCCACGATGAAATTGCCACACACAAAATTGATTCGCAAAATTCGAGTTTTCATCCGATTGCCATCAAATTTTCAGGGATTGAGAAATAACTATTAAACTTCATTTTACCATTTTACTCGTATTTTATTTACAGTCCATACGCAAATGCCCGCACCTTGGCCTTAACCCCGGCCATAAGATTCTGCACAACCTGTGAATCAACCGTTTTTTGCATGTAAACCCTTACTTTCTTGAGTTCCTCGTCTGTCTTCACTACCTTAGGTCGTTTAAGAAGGTGCTGCTTCATAATCGCCCAGTACTTCTCGATGGGGCGGAGCTCCGGAGTGTTGGGAGGGTTGAACATTTTCGGCACGAAATTGACCTTATTGTCCGCATACCACTTCAGCACGTCCTTGGAGTAGTGGCATGAGGCCAAATCCGGCCAGAAGATTGTTGGGACGTTGTGGGCCTTCAGGAGAGGAAGCAGCCGCTTCTGGAGGCACTCTTTTATGTACACCTGTCCGTTCATCGTGTCCTGGGTCACGAAAGGTGCACTCCGCTTCCCGCACGTGCAGATGGCTTGCCAAACCAGGAATTTCTTCGCAAATTTGGACATCTTCTGAGTGCGGACATGCTCCGGAACGCTGAACTTATCCTTGGCCGTGAAAAACAGGTTGCCGGGGATCTGTTTGAAGTCGGCCTTCACATATGTTTCGTCGTCCATGATGCAGCATTCAACTTTCGTCAGCATGTTGAGGTACAACTTCCTGGCACGGGTTTTGGCGGACTTGTTCTGCTTCTCGTCGCGTTTAGGGGCCTTTTGTACCTTGAACGTTCGAAGCCCAGCCTTAGTTTTGGCCTTCTGGACAAAACTTCGGCTTAGGTGCAGCTTCTTAGCCACATCCCTAACGGAGGCGTTCGGATTTCGGTTGAAGGCCCCAACTACGCGGTTGTGATTTTTGGTGTTGTACGGAATACTTTTTCCTTCACTTCTGGGCTTCCCATCGGTGGTCAACCGTTCCTCGAACCGCTTAATCACTCGCGACACCGTGGAATTCGCGATTCCCAACGTTTAAGCGATGGAACGATGCGAGAGATCCTTGTTCTCGTGATGAATGCGCAAGATTTTATCACGCACGAGCTGTTCTTTCGACTCCATTTCCGCGAGTTTTGATCACAGGACTTTAAAACTTGCAGGATGTAAATAATGCACTATGAACTAAATCCACCCAAATTTTCATTAAATTCTACCCAACGGTTAAAAAGTTAGAGCAATTTCATAGTGTGGCAATTTCATCGTGGACACCCTTTATTATTGGTGATGGCAAATTAAACTAGACCCAAAAGTGCAAAAAATGTATTTGAAATGCCTTTGGGGCATCCATTAAGTACGTAACGTGAAAGAGTATTGCAGCATTGTATGGTCTCCATTTTCAATCACGCACGAAGAAAGATTAGAATCAGTACAAAAGCAATTTCTATTATATGCCCTTCGTAAATTAGGTTGGACATAATTTCCTCTTCCATCATATGAAGCACGCTGCATGCTTATAAACATACAAACATTAAAAGAGCGACGTGAATATGCAATGGTTTCGTTTGTAAACGATATCGTTTCGCAGCGCATTAACTCAGCCAGCAGAAGTTTTATTAAAATTATTTTTTTATGTACCTACTCGACAAATCAGAAATAGAAATTTATTTGCCATAACCGTTGGCGTCTTACAATCAATACTGCGAAACCATTGACTTTTCATTGTCTCGGCATAAACTATAACAATATTTTAACTTCATTCCGTTATAACTCGTAAGAAGTAAAAATAGAATAGCAGACAACTTTTTTTAATATTCTTAATAAAAACAAATTTGTATATGTATTTGTACAAGTCTACATCGGTTGATGAAATAAATAAATAAAACGAAAATAAATAAAACGAAGTTGACTATCTACAATACGGTGGTCCTCTACGGCCACGAGACCTGGATTATGCTCGTAGAGGACCAACGCGCCTTGGTGTTTTCGAACGGAAGGTTTTGCGTACCATCTACG